GTAATAAATGTAGGGGGTAAAAGAGTAAATGAGAATTGAAGGGGAATTGTCGTGAATGGAAGGTGCAAATAACCCGTTTGACTACCATTAGGATTAAAACACCGATTCTCTAGGTGAGTTGTTGGCATTGCACATTCCATTCAACCAAAATTCCGTATCGATTTTTGGTTTGTTTTGGTTTGTTATTTTGTGCTTTTTGAATCTTTGTCTTTGCTGTCTGATCTGATTGTAGGTCTTGCACTTTGTCGTTGTTTGGTTGCTTTCTTCGTGTGTTTTTTTGTTTTTGTTTTTAAGTCGCCGCTTCTCGCCGTCGGAGGTGTGCTGAGGGTGTGAGGGCGTGGGATGTGCAGTGTGGCGGTGAGGCGTGGGAGGGACGTGTGTAACATTCTCTCTCTCTGAACAAAAGGAAAGGTAGTAGAGAAATAGGGCGAGGCAGCTGTTTGTTGCGGAGTATTTCCAAAACCACTACCAAAATCCACCAATTCCTATGATCAAATTTGTTGAAAAATCCTAAAGTTCCTGTCTTTGCATTTTGCTTAGTTCAACACTCACTCTCATCACCCCTTATTTTCTTTCATTTCCGACATTTTTTCCTCTTAATTGGTCTGTATATTTATAGCCTTTATTCATATTCCCTTATGTGAGAGGATCAACATCTTAGTGAGTGTAATGAGAATCATGCACAAAACCTCGCAAGCTCGCCACTCTTCCATCAGATCAGACTGCCCTATTCTGTCAGGAACTCTGTAGACAAATGTTGGAGTTTATAATTTGTTTGGTTTTAGACAATGGAATATGCTACAACTATAATATAAAGTAATTTCAGATTGCACATTAAAAACATGTTGGTTTTATTTCTTTTGTTTTTGTTGATGTTGTTGGTAGTGCAACTAGTATGAAAAAATGGGAGTTATGATGAGGAAGCACCTGTGAATACAACGGTGTGGGCATGGATTGTGGAAATATGCGGACTCAACGAGCTACGGGTACTGTGCAACTGTATGATTTTGCATTAAGTAGGTGTGCAACCGTGTGGTTTTTTAGTGTGTAAGTATGCGGAATGCACCAGTTACGGCATGTGCAACCACGTCGTTATTCATTGTGAAACTACAATTAAAAAACAAGAACGTGCAGAATTGTTAAAGTGCATGAATAATTGAAACAAATCCACTGCTTTTAAATGAAAATAAGAAGTTAAACAATCGAAACTTACAAGTAAAAAAAATGTTCTTTCACATTAAACTTGTGTTTTTTTTTTTTTTGGAAAATGCATTAAGGTACATGGTAGTTATGTTACAGATTCCACATGTTAGGTGTGCACCCCAGTGGTTTTCCAGTGTGTAAGTATGCGAAATACACTATGGCTGTACAACCGAGTCGTAATTCATTGTGCAAGTACATAATTAAAAAAATGACACACTATAACCATCAATTTAAAACGTTCTTTTATTAAAAATTTAAGTGCATAAGTGTAAAAGTGCATGAATAATTGAAACTAATAAAATGTTTGTAAACGAAAATAAGAATTTAAATCTGTAGGCATATTAGGCTTGAGCATTTTCCTTGTGCAGCGGGAAGGTACGATTGTTATGGCCATACTCCTCACAGGTCTGACATTGTCATTGGCGACGTTTGGACTTCTCCACAAAGAAAAATAAAAAATGGGGCTAACGAAAACGCTTTAACGACAACCATTCCAACCTACGCAAAAACACATGGCAAATATACCACCTAATGCTTTGACTTGACTCAAAAAAGACTACCATAGAAATATGATAACAAGCAAAATACAGCAAATTATAAGTAAAATGCGAAAAAAAATTATACCCACCACTGAATGGGTGTAACGGTAGAAATTTTCAATGAAAAAATAGAGTATAAAATTATAACAAAATTTTAAAAGTACATCCGCAAAATGGGTTTAGCACTGGAAATTTTCAAAGCAACAAAAATATTATTGAATACTGCTATTTTTAACACATTATTTTCAGAGACAAAAACCAACAACAAACAAACAACAAAACTTCGTTGCACAAACGTAATAGTTGTGGGTGCACACTGCTACGAAAAAACACCAAAACCCCTATCCAAAATCTCCACAAAATGAACTCAAGAACAATATGAGAAGGCAATACCCCACGTCAAAACACAAAGAAACGCAACTGACGAAAATGAAAAAGATGAAAACATATAAAACTTGAATACAAAATCGCAAATGGCCTGGCATCACAACATGTCCTTAATTACTATTATTAAACAACCTAAAAACATGCGAATTACGCCAAATATAGGAAATAGAAAAAGGAATAAAAACACAAAGACAAAAACACCCCCAACATATATTGACACGAAGATCAATTAAAAAAGGGACAAAATTATAACAAAAAAAAATCAACCACACATCAAGCAAAGATCAATGGTTAAGATTAATCCACAATTCTCATGTGGGAATGCATCCTCATTGGATCCTTTACATATATATATATATATATATATATATATATATATATATATATTGAATTTCTGGATTATAGTATGAAGTTGTGGATTATTTATGTTACTAGTTTTTTACGCGCATTGCGCGATTGAGATAATGCCCAATATTTTTTTAAAAAAAATAAGTACTTTAAAGTATATCAAGGCAAAATTATATTGGAATTGTTCATGCATAGATAATTGAATGTTAAATTTGCGTATTTAAATAGGCAATTCAAAGTTTACAAATGCAAGATAATATAGTCAAAATGGATTATAATTGTCAATAAAATAATTGTATAGGTATGGTTGAAACCAAATATGGGACATAAGGAAGAGCAAATAAAAATTAAGGCATAAAATATTACATATATACTAATATTGAAGAGCTTAACTGCTGATTGCCAAACAAGAACATTGCGAGATAGTTTCCCACTTCAATTTGTTGTGTGATTTGAATACTCTTTTTGTCAATAAATCCCCCAAGTAGTTCATATGATTGACTTAATTATATTTTTTATTCTTTTATTTTTTTTAAAACAATTATTATTATTATTATTATTATTATTATTATTATTATTATTATTATTATTATTATTATTATTATTATTATTATTATTATTATTATTATGTGTGTATACCCTTAAGTCATTTTGCATGTTAATCTAATATCTTTTTACCAACCGTTGAAATAATTCGCTGGTCAAATTCGCTAATATAATCCGCTAATTGCTAATTGTCAAACAAGGACATTGCGAGGTAGTTCTCACTTCAATTTGTTGTGTGATTTGAATACTTTTTTTGTCAACAAATCCCTCAAGTAGTTAATATGATTGACTTTATTAATTATATTTTTTAAAATTTTTTCATGGTATTAATAAAATCCTTGGTAAATTAATATATATCACTATTTTGTATTATAACTTTGATATTTAATTAAAAAAATAGTGCGCAAAAAAAAAAAAATAGACAATGTAGTGAATATAATCAATTGATGAATTTGAATGTAAAGAATTTTTACATTATATTGGAGAAATATAAAGACAATATAACTAATAAAATTATTTCTCTTAATTAATTTATTGATAATGAATAATTTGTTTTAATAAATACATTGTAGGAACAATGTAGCGAATATAATCAATTGATGAATTTGAATGTAAAGAATTTTTATATTGGAGAAAAATAAATACAATATAACTAATGAATTGAAATTATTTCTCTTATTTAATTTATTGATAATGAATATTTTTTTTGAATAAAGACATTGTGGACACATAATTCTAAATTAAAGAAATGCATATGTATTATTTTTTGTTGTAGCTACTAAATTATTATTCATAATCTACTATACTAATAAGAGCTCAAGAGGGTTAGACATATAATGAGTAGAAAAAATGGCGGTCAAAATTTTTAATCAAATGAATGACTTAGATTGATCAGATTTTAATTTTTCCCTAAGATTTCCTAATTTATCCTTAATGAATATGATTATCCGTTAAGTTTTCCGTTAAATATTATATTTTTCGTTAATTTCTATTAGTTCACCGTTAACTTACTCATTGATTTTAATAAGAAAGGTCTTAGGTTCGAACCCCATCCAAATTAAAGTTGGCATAATTAGTACTCTATTTTACTCTTATGAAATTAAAAAATAATTTAGTAGCTACAACAAAAAAAACAATACATATGCATTTCTTTAATTTAGAATTATGTGTCTACAATGTCTTTATTAAAAAAAATCATTATCAATACATTAAATGAGAGAAATAATTTCATTAGTTATATTGTATTTATTTTTCTCCAACATAAAAATTCTTTACATTCAAATTCATCAATTGATTATATTCGCTACATTGTCCCTATAATGTCTTTATAAAAAAAATATTCATTATCAATAAATTAATTAAAAGAAATAATTTTATTAGTTATATTGTGTTTATATTTCTCCAATGTAAAAATTCTTTACATTCAAATTCATCAATTGATTATATTCACTACATTGTCTATTATCTTTTTTGCGCACTATTTTTTAATTAAATATCAAAGTTATAATACAAAATAATGTTATATATTTATTTACCAAGTATTTTATTAATACCATGAAAAAATTAAAAAAAATATAATTAATAAAGCCAATCATATTAAATAATTGAGGGATTAACTAATTGAGGGATTTGTTGACAAAGAGTATTCAAATCACACAACAAATTGAAGTGAGAACTACCTCGCAATGTCCTTGTTTGACAATCAGCAGTTAGCGGTTAGCGTTAGCGGATTATATTAGTGAATTTGACCAACGAATTATATCAAGGGTTGATAAAAAGATATTTGAAAAAATTAATTGTTTAGATTGAGTGAAACAGATTATCGTTAATTCAAACTCAGAGAAGTTATAGAGATACAAAAGGAGATTAGTGTCCTATCTAACTACACCTATTCAATAGCTATTAGTTACAGGACTATTTCAACTATAATGTTACATAATAAATAAATGGGAAATATAACATTACTAACACTCCCCCTCAAGCTGAAGGTGGTGTAGACACAACACTAAGCTTGTCTCGTAGCGTGGCAAAGCGAACTGATGGAAGAGGTTTGGTGAGGACGTCAGCTAACTGATCTTTGGTGGAGATAAAATTAACCAGGAAATCCCCAGATTCCACCTTATCCCGCACGAAGTGATAGTCAATCTCAACATGCTTAGTCCGAGCATGAAAAACCGGATTAGCGCACATATAAGTGGCGCCCAAATTGTCACACCATAGAGTCGCTGGATTCCCAGAGTGTAGACCAAGCTCCCGAAGTAGAGATACAAGTATACAACCCAAGTAACCTCAGCTGCGACTCGGCTAGTCCCTTGTACTCAGCCTCGGTGGAGGACCTAGCCACAGTTCGCTGCTTGCGAGAGACCCAAGAGACTAGATTTGTCCCAAGAAACACGGCGTAACCACTGGTGGATTTGCGATCTATCGGACACCCAGCCCAGTCCAAGTCCGGGTAAGCATGAATGTCAGCAGACGGTGATGCAGACAACTTAAGACCATATGCTTGCGTGCCTTTCACATGTCGTAGGACCCGTTTCAGTAAACCCCAATGCTCATCAGTCGGAGTGTGCATGAACTGACAGAGCCTGTTCACGGCATAAGACAAGTCCGGACGCGTGATAGTCAGATACTGTAGAGCCCCGGCTAACCGACGGTATTGAGTAGGGTTCTCATACGGACTCGTTACCGGAGATATGGCTTGTGTGACCGCAGCTGGAGTGGATAGAGGTTTGCAGTTAGTCATACCTGCGCGAGTCAAGATGTTGGCCATGTAACGGCGTTGATAGAGTAGAACACCATCTTTCACTGGAATAGTTTCAATACCGAGAAAGAAAGTGGGAGTGCCCAAATCACGGATTTTGAAAGTGGTAGACAGCTGATTGAGTAGAGAAAGTAATAATTCGGAGTCGTTGCCAAGCATGATGATATCATCTACATAAACAAGCAGATAAACCCGTGACGTGCCACGTGTGTAGTAAAAAGGGGAGACGTTAGTTTTGGATGCCACAAAACCTGTAGTCAGCAGGAAATCATGTAACTGCTTAAACCAGGCACGTGGAGCCTGCTTAAGCCCATAAAGAGACCGTTGTAAACGGCAAACATAATCTGGATGAGTAGGGTCCTCATAACCCGGTGGTTGTCGCATATAGACAGTTTATGCCAGATGTCCATTTAAGAAAGCATTATGGACATCCAGTTGCCGCATAGTCCAGCCCTGTGATATAGCAAGGGCGAGCAATATGCGAACCGTGGTCGGCTTGACCACTGGACTGTAGGTTTCAAAAAAGTCCTCACCAGCGACTTGATTGAATCCCTTTGCGACCAAGCGAGCTTTGTAACGCTCTATAGCACCATCAGCCTTCCGTTTGGTGCGATAGACCCACTTGCAGCCCACTACGTTCATACCCGGCTTGGCTGGAGTGAGACACCATGTATTATTATGCAGAAGGGCATTAAATTCCTGGTCCATAGCATCCCTCCACTGTGGGTGTGCTACGGCCTGAGTATAGCAAGTCGGATCAGTTGAGGCGGTTAGAGCCTGAAAGGGCTCGTCTGTGCCTCGCGTCATGTGCCGGAGTCGCATGACATGAGGTTGCACCGGTGGCCGGACCCGGACCCGGGTTTTACGCCGTGGTACCACTCTGTTGACCGACTCATGTTGTATTTCTAACGGTGGCACTTGGGCTGCCAACGGTAACTCATTAAGCGGTTCAACTTGTGGCCGCGTGATTATGGGACTTGATGCCCAAGGCACGCCATTCTGAGTGCTTGTGACCCCATCTTATTCGTGTGAACCTGAGGCATAGGGAAACACACTTTCGTCAAATCTGACATGGCGGCAGATAAAGGTCTTCCCAGTTACTGGGTCCATGCATCGGTACCCCCTATAAGACGTAGGATATCCTAGAAAGACACAGAGTGCAGAACGATACTCTATCTTATGGCGATTGTAGGGCCATAGATAGGGGTAACATTTGCACCCAAACACGCGCAGAAAAGTGTATGGTGGAGTTTTGTTATAGACAGACTCATAGGGACTGACAAAATTTTTGAGTGCAGATGACGGTAAGCAATTTATGAGATAGGAAGTTGTTTCAAACGCGGCATCCCAGTGTTTGATAGGGACTGAGCTATGCGTGAGTAAGGCTAACCCGGTTTCGACAATGTGTCTATTCCGGCGCTCTACTCGGCCATTTTGCTCATGCGTATAGGCGCAAGACTGCCTATGCACAATGCCTAGAGACTGAAAAGTGGAGTGGAGACGGCGATACTCGCCTCCGAGATCGGACTATATAGACTTGATAGAACGCGAGAATTGGCGTTCTACCATGACACGGAAAGACTTAAAGATTTTATAAATGTCTGATTTTAACCGCAAAGGGTAAAACCAGCAAAAACATGTGTGGTCATCTACAAAGAAAACAAAATATCTAAAACCCCCGGCAGAAACAACGGGTGCCGGTCCCCAAATATCAGTATACAGCAAGTCGAGTACATTATTGCTACTAGAAAAAACTCTATCTAGCGGGAATCGAGACGATTTCCCGAGTTGACACGACGAACATAATTGCGGCACACTTGATTTGGATTGAGTGACCGGGCATTTTTGTAAGACACGATTTTGGGCACGTTCATGCGGATGTCCAAGCCTGCGATGCCAAATATCAGGCGGCGCACGAGCGGTTATTAATGCAACATGTGACCGAGACATGGGTAGCTTGTACAAACCCCCCGTGGTAGGACCCCTAAGGAGCACCGCCTTGGTGTGACAGTCCTTCACAACAAAATGATCATGGTGAAATTCAAAGTAAACATCATTATCAATTGCAAAGCGATTAACTGATAATAATGGTAAGGAAAGACGGGGGACATGCAAAATATTATTTAATTTTAGAGTTCTAGACGCAGAGTTTAATGATGCATGGCCAACACTGGTTATACCCAAACCTGATCCATTGCCCACGCGGAGCACATCACTGCCAGCGTAGGGATCTGATTGCGCCATCATCGTCTGATCGGGCGTAGCATGCGACGACGCCCCAGTGTTCGGGTACCACGCGTCCGCCACGACTGCCGCATCTTCTCCGGGAACTGCCGCATGGGCCTGCGGTTGCGGTGCGCCAGAGTAGCGTTTGAAGCAGTGAAGTGCGGTATGCCCATGCGAGCGGCAGATTTGGCACCTCGGACCGCCACCACCACGGCCTCTGCCTTGCCCGCCACGGCCACGGCTGCCCCGACCTCGCCACTGCTATCCGGAACCAGCGTGCCGGGGACCGCCACCTGCTGCCTGGTTCTGTGAATAGCCGCGTCCAGCAACCATCGCCGTATGCCCTGATGGAGCTCCGGCAGTGGAGAACTCATCTGCCCAGATGAACTCTTGGGCCTGGAGATAGTCCGAGAGCTAGGGGATCGACACCGATGCACCGGATGCCGCGAGGGAGGACGCCATCGACCGGAATTCTGGCCGGAGACCTCGGAAAACCAAGAGGTTTTGTTCATCAAGCGAGACCGGTCGGCCGGCCAACGCTAGATATTCCACCAATAATTGTGCGCGATTGAGGTATTCTGCGGGAGTGCTGTCACCTTGCCTGAGCGACTGGAATTGTGCCAGGAGATTAAGACACCTCGCCCGAGTTGAGGAACCAAGCGCCGCCGTGATCGACGACCAGACCTCCTGCGACGTCGTGCGGCCCACGGCGAGGTAGACCACCTCGTCTGCCATCGACGACACGAGCAGAGACAGGATACTTTGGTCCTGCTGTATCCATAAGCCGTGAGCCGGATTCGGTGTTGTGGTGGTCGTGGCGCCGGAAGCAGCATCACCGGACGCCGGGGTTTCAAGTGTCGCCGGCGGACATGGCGTATCGCCGGTTACGAACCCAAGGAGGCCCTATCCACGGAGGAATGGTACGAGTTGGGTACGCCAGAAGAGGAAATTCTTCGTGGTTAACTTCATAGATATGAAGTGGTGAGCCGAGGCAAGGGTGTTTGGGGTGGTGGGGGGTGGTGGTGTAGCGGCGGTGACCGTTCTTTCGCTAGAGTTTGTCGACATAATTTTGGGAGAGAGAGTAAATAGGTTCACCAAGCTTACTGATACCAGATGAGTGAAACAGATTATAGTTAATTCAAACTCAGAGAAGTTACAGAGATACAAAAGGAGATTAGAGTCCTATCTAACTACACCTATTCAATAGCTATTAGTTACAGGACTATTTCAACTATAATGTTACATAATAAATAAATGGGAAATATAACATTACTAACAAGATTAACATGTAAAATGACCTAAGAGTATACATATATTTAATAATAATAATAATAATAATAATAATAATAATAATAATAATAATAATAATAATAATAATAATAATAATAATAATAATAATAATAATAATAATTGTTTTTAAAAATAAAAAATAAATAAAATAATTAAGCTAATCATATTAACTACTTGGGGGATTTATTGACAAAAAGAGTATTCAAATCACACAACAAATTGAAGTGGGAAAACTATCTCGCAATGTCCTTGTTTGGCAATCAGCAGTTAGCTCTTCAATATTAGTATATATTTAATATTTTATGCCCTAATTTTTATTTGCTATCCCTTATGTCCCGTATTTGGTTTCAACCATACCTATACAATTATTTTATTGACAATTATAATCAATCTTGACTATATTTTTTTGCATTTGTAAACTTAGAATTGCATATTTTTGAAAGTAATAATAGTGGTGTATTAATGGATAAACTGAGCAATAGAGTCAGGAAGGACAGAGTCCCAGTACATAGGTTGTTCCTGATCGAAAGCTAACGAAGCTAAAGTATGAGCATGAAAATTAAGTGTTCTAGAAATATAACTTAAAGAACAACGTGTAAATAATGATATGGTTGTCCTACATTGGTCCACAATGATCCCAATATAGGACAAATTAGATGTTGGGCTTGAGTATAATGCATTCCGCAGCTCTGAGCAGTCTGTTAAAAGATCCACCATCCTGATATCCCGATCCTTAAGCTAAGACAACGCCTCTTTGCAAGCAAGTGCCTCCGCCATAACGGCTGAGAATTGCATATTTAAATACGCAAATTTAACGTTCAATGATCTATGCATGAACAATTCCAATATAATCTTACCTTGATATACTTTAAAGTACTTATTTAAAAAAATAAAAAAAAAAAAAAAAAAAAAAAAAAAAAAAAAAAAAAACATTGGACATTATCTCAATCACGCAATGCGCGTAAAAAACTAGTAATTTAATAAGAGTAAAATAGAGTACTAATTATACCAACTTTGATTAGGATAAAGTTTCGATACTAAGACCTTTCTTATTGCAATCAATGAGTAAGTTAACGGTTAACTAATCGAAATTAACGAAAAATATAATATTTAATGGAAAAGTTAACGGATAATCATATTCATTAAGGATAAATTAGGAATCTTAAAGGAAAAATTAAAATCTGTTCAATCTGAGCCGTTCATTTAATTAAAAAATTTGACCGCTATTTTTTCTACCCGCGTAACTCTCTTGGACTCTTATTAGTATAGTAGATATTCTAGTCGTGTAAGTATTGAATTCGTGAATTATAGAAGTAAGTTGTGAATTTGGAAATTATGATTCTATATAAGTATTTAATTTTTGAATTATAGTATGATTATAAGTATTTAATTTGTAGATTAAAGTATGAAGTTGTGAATTTGTTAATTATTTATGATATATTAGGTTGTGTAAGTATTGAACTTGTCTATTATTGTATTATGTTATAAATTGTGGAACTATTTGTTTAATATTATCGTTGTATATAAGTATTGAATTTGCTAATTATATAGTATCACAAGAATCTCACCAAGAACCGTGGTGAATGGAGTCACCGGATCAGCGAGTCAAGAAGACCCAGCCTGCCCCAGGATCAGGGTAACGAAAGAGGACAAAGAAAGGCTTAGACGCCCTTGGCGTCGTACTCTCATTATCCGATTGCTCGGCAAGACAATAGGCTATAACTTCCTCCTTGGACGCCTGCAGTCCCTGTGGAAACTATAAGGCCATTACGAGCTCATCGATCTGGAGCAAGATTACTTCCTTGCTAGATTTGAATCCAAGCGTGATTACGACCACGTTATGTTCGAAGGCCCCTGGATAATTCTTG